GGTGCAGCTGCTTTAGCCAGTTCCCCACTTCAGCCTGCAAGGCTCACTTCCTTTGAGACATCCTTGAGGAAAAGCCACATGGACCTACCCTGATGCAGCTGCGTGGAGATCCCTGCCAGTGCTGAGATGCTTATACATTCACTGACTCGGCTTTCCTCCTGCAGTCGGCATCATTGCGTCTGTTTTGTGAAGTTGAGGAGGACTTTGTATATTGGTGTCAAACATGTGGGTTAATGTTGGACTTATGGACTTGGACAGTACTGGGTTGAATGCTTTCTGAATGTACACTTACCTTTTATATAAAACTTTCTCTTCTATACATATGAGTTTCTGTGGATTTGTTTCCCTAGTTTATCCAGACTAACACATTGGCAAAGTAGCTGTCTTCCAAATTTCCTGCCATGGACAAGTGAGTGCTTTCAGTGCTTCATCAGCTGTTGAACATTTCAGTTGGTATCCCAGCAATTCCCAGAGCCTTGTTTTGGCTATGGCTTTCAATGCAGCTTTAACTTTATCTTTAAACAGCATCGGTTCTTGCTCATATACTACCTCTTAAAATGGTGAAATGGCAACTAGTTATTTTTGGTACAGTGACTGTGTATTCTCTCCATCTTTTTTTGATGCTTCCTGAATCATTTAATATTTTTTCCATAGAATTTTTCAAGATTGCAACTTGAGGCTTGAATTTTTTCTCGAGTTTTTTCAGTTTACAATGTGTTGAACATGTATTCCTTTCTGTCTAACTCTAGGTCCTTGCACCTTTACTATAATATTGATTTTGTCTTCTTGAACTGCCCTTTGAATAGAAACTGTCCTTCTATTCAGCTCTTTGACATCATTTCTTTCACTTGCTTTAGCTACTTACTCTCTGATTAAGAGCAAAATTCAGAGTCTCTTCTGACCTCCCCTTTGATCTTTTCTTTCTTTCCTTTCTTCATGCATGATGGTCTTGATGTCCTCCCACAGCTCATCAGATCTTCTGTTATTAGTGTTCAATGTATGAAATCTGTTCTTGAGATTTCTAAATTTCAGGTGGAATAGACAGGTTTTACTTTGGCTCTCATGAACTTGTTTGAATTTTCTTCAGCTTTCTCCTGAACTTACATATGTGTAATTGATGGTCTGTTCTATAGCCAGCCCCTGGTCTGGTTTTAACTGCTGATACTGAGCTTCTCCATTGTTTCTTCCCACAATGTAGTCAGTTTTATTTCTGTGTATTCCATCTGGAGAGGTCCATGTGTATTACTCATCTTTTGCATTGTTGAAAAAAGTATTTGCTGTGAACTAGTCATTGACTTTGCAAAATTCTGTCATGCAATCTCGTTTCATTTCCATTCCCAAGGCCATAGTGTCCAACTACTATTTCTACGTGTTTCCAATTTTGCAGTCCAATCACCAATAACTATCAATGAATCTTGATTGCGTGTTTGATTAATTTCCTACTGAAGCTTTTGGTAGGATTCTTGAATTTATCACTAGCTTTTGTGGTTGATGCATAAATTTGAATGATAGGTGTATTGATTGGATTTCCTTGTAGGTGGATGGATGGATATAATCTTATCACAGGCAGCACTGTAGTTCATGGGTGATTTTGCAATGTCCTTTTTTGACAATGAACATGCCGCACCATTCCTCTTGTGTTATTCCCAGAATAGTAAAGCATATGATTTTCTGATTCAAAATGGCCAATGCCAGGCCATTTCAGCTTGCGAATTCCTATGATACACATCTTTACGCATTCCATTTCAGTTTGACCGCTTCCAGTTTTCCTGGATTCACACTTCACATGTACCACATTCCGAACATTAGCAGCTGTTTGGAGCTGTTTCTCCTCTCCTGGAGTCATGCCTCATCAGGGAATGAAGATCCCAAAGACTCCACCCCCAGCAGGTTTATCCCCCATGGTACCATGGTGGACTCCACTTCGAGAAATCCACCCGACTCCGCGACATTCTGAGCGCCCCCTCACCTGAGGGGCCCACCCTCTAGGATGGTCTCCTAAGACGTTCTGCTTCCATTCAGTAGGCCTTCATTAGCTGACAGTGCTTCAATGTTGTGCGTAAGGTTTTCAGCAGCTCCTTCCTCTGAACTGAGGAGCCTGGTCCTTCATTGTCTCTTCTTATTCTGGAGGCTCCGCTGGCATCTGTTCACAGTGGGTGACCCTGCTGGCCTTTGAAGTGCAAGTGACATAGCTTCCAGCACCACTGCAACACAGAGCCACACAGCATGACAAACTGACCACTGGTGGTGGGAGGGAGGGAGTTACATATTATTTGCTTCGTGATATTATATTCATGCGCACAGGTATATTTCATGCATTTTCTCTTTGTACTAATCTTCTCAATATAAGTAGTCTTTAAGAGTGGGGCAACATATCCATTCACTCCACAGATATTTCCTCAGGAACCTGCATAGATCAGACCTTGCACCAGATCTGCAGCATCTGAAGAATAAATACATGAGTCCAGCCCCAGGGTGCTTACCTTCCTTGAGTGGAGACAGACAAAAGCAGTTACAGTAATGAATCAAAGAATAAAGACACATGTATAAAATCACCCGGTGGAATAAGGACTATGAAAGAGATTCTTGGCTTGATGGTGGGTTTTTTGGTTTGTTTGTTTTGGTTTTTTGGTTTGGGGGGGGATTTTTTTAAGGGGAACTCTTGCTTTATTGGGAGTGGGGTGAGGACCAAAACCATTAAATCCTTCACTGCACTAAAATAGTTCAGACATGTTCTGCCCACCCCTAAGACATGGCGGGCGGTTCCTCCTTTTATCTATAATAAAAGGTTCCAATGTAATTTTAGATCTACACTTAGCTAGGAATCCCATCTGCTTACACAGAGAAATTCTTGGCTTGAAAGTCATGGCACCAGCCCCTCCCGTAACCGAGAAAACACTATTATTAGTTTTTAGTTAATTTAAAGGCTATTACTCAAAAATCAAAAAGGTCTTTTGAAGTCCTAATTCAAAAAGCAGTGTGTTTTAAGGTAATTTTTTTCTCTCCCTCACTGTAAAATGCTTACATGCCCTTTGTAGAACATCTGGGAAATCAGAAAAATACAAAGAAAACAAAAATCCATAATCCATTACCATAAAACTCTCACTGCTAGGGAGTTGATTTTGACTCATAAGTGACCTTATAGCACAAGGTAGACTGCAACTCTTTACACAAGTAGAAAGCCTCATCTTTCTTCTAGGGAGTGGCTGGTGGTTTCAAACTGCTGATCTTGTGGTTAGCAGCCCTAAACATAACCAGTATGTCACACGGACTCCTTCCATTACCATAAGGCCTGTAAATGTTTTGGTCCATTTCATACAATGAAAAAAAATGCGTTTATAGGCTTCTTGACAGTAAATATGAGAATTTATCTGCCGCTTTACATTTTCCCATGTCTTCATTTTCTATATATGTATGTGTATGTATGTATACATATATATATGGCATCTCCATGTTTCATCAAATGATTTTCCTAAACATAATTTTTGTTAGTAAAAATTCCATCCGACAGGTTTATGTACTTAAAAGTCTGGTTGTCTATGTTGTTTTCTTTTTCGTTTTCCTTTTTATCATTTTATTGGGGGCGCATACAGCTCTTATCACAATCACATCCATTGTGTCAAACACATTTGTACATCTGTTGCCATCATCATTTCAAAACATTTTCTTACTACTTGAGACCTTGGTATCAGCTCATTTCCTCCTCCCTCCCTCCCTCCTTCCCTCGTGAACTCTTGATAATTTAGAAATTATTATTTTTTCATGTCTTACACTGACCACTGTCTCTTCACCCACTTGTCTGTTGTTCATATCCCTGGGTGGGGGTGGGGGGTTATCTTGATCACTTCCCCCTTTCTCCCCCCACCTTCCCCTACCCTCCTGGTGTCACTACTCCCTTTATTGGTTCTCAGGAGTTTCTCTGCCCTGGAATCTCTGTGTTTCCAGCTCTGTCTGTACCCATGTACATGCTCTGGTCTAGTCAGATTTGTAAGGTAGAATTTGGGGTCATGATAGCTGGGGAGAAGAAGCATTAAAGAACTAGAGGAAAGTTTTATGTTTCATCGTTGCTATACTGCACCCTGACTAGCTTGTCTCTTTCTTGTGACTCTTCGGTAAGGGATGTCCAGTTGCCTACAGATGGGCTTTGGGTCACCACTCTGCACTCCCCCTCAGTCACAATGATATGATTTTTTGTTCTGGGTCTTTGATGCCTGATACCCGATCCCATCGACACCTCGTGATCACACAGACTGGTGTACTTCTTTCATGTGGACTTTGTTGCTTCTCATCTATGTTGGTTTCACAGGAAAGAAATCTTATCCAGACTGCTTCTGGGCCGGTGTAGGTAAGCATTGCCCTGTATCACAGAATCTATCGGTAGGTAGATAGGAATCAACCCCCAAATGAAAAAGACAACGTATAGGAAATCAAGGTGAACGTTCTTCCCGTGCCAAGGCACTGTGAATCCAGCATTGCACAATTCTTCCCAAACGTGAGTCGTCTCCGAGGAGAGGGTTTTCCAGAGTCCCCAAAGTTCCGTGACGCAGACAAAGTTTGCCAGTAAGTTCGGTTGGCACTCCGGACCGGCGGCGGCGAGGCTGCTTGGGTCACCGGCGGACACTGGTCCGCTGGCCTCAACAGTTGCTCGGAGCCTGGGAGTCACTGCTGCCCGCAGGGTTCACGGGAGCCCACGCGGCCGCGGCCCGACGCCTGGGGGCCGCAGCTGGCTGCGCGGAGCCCCCGGGGGTCGCACTTCGCTCGGGGCGCCCCGCCCCCGCCCCTCGCGCCACCCAGGCGCCCGAGGTCCAACGGGACTGCGCCCGCTGAGTGCGCGTCACGAACCGAATTGGGGAGGAGCGCGCCCGGGTCCCCGCCCTGCCCGGCCACCCCGTCCCCCGCCCCCCCTCCGGCCCGGAAGCGCAGGCGCGACCACGCGGAGCCCCGCCAACCGTCCCAGAGCCCGAGGTCGCCCCGAGCCCCCCGTGCCGCCGCCGCTCGCCATGGGCGCCGCTGCCCGGCTGCTGCCAGCCCTGGCGCTCCTGCTGGGGCTCGGCGCGCTCGCGGCCGCGTCGGGGTCCGCGGGCACCCGCAAGCGAGGCCCCTCGGTGACGGCCAAGGTGACCGAAGCGCCCGCAGTCAACTTTCCCCACCTGCCAGTTGGGGTGGGGTGGACGGTGCTCTGGTGTCTGGGACCTTGATCCCAGGGACGTCAAGGAGGGGGCTTTCCGGG